GTACATGTATGGCAACCAGGAAAGAAAATCTATATACTAAGCCTGGGGTACATGTATGGCAACCAGGATGGAGGATCTATATACTAAGCCTGGGGTACATGTATGGCAACCAGGATAGAAGATCTATATACTAAGCCTGGGGTACATGTATGGCAACCAGGATAGAAGATCTATATACTAAGCCTGGGGTACATGTATGGCAACCAGGATAGAAGATCTATATACTAAGCCTGGGGTACATGTATGGCAACCAGGATAGAAGATCTATATACTAAGCCTGGGGTACATGTATGGCAACCAGGATAGAAGATCTATATACTAAGCCTGGGGTACATGTATGGCAACCAGGATAGAAGATCTATATACTAAGCCTGGGGTACATGTATGGCAACCAGGATAGAAGATCTATATACTAAGCCTGGGGTACATGTATGGCAACCAGGATAGAAGATCTATATACTAAGCCTGGGGTACATGTATGGCAACCAGGATAGAAGATCTATATACTAAGCCTGGGGTACATGTATGGCAACCAGGATGGAGGATCTATATACTAAGCTTGGGGTACATGTATGGCAACCAGGATAGAAGATCTATATACTAAGCCTGGGGTACATGTATGGCAACCAGGATAGAAGATCTATATACTAAGCCTGGGGTACATGTATGGCAACCAGGATAGAAGATCTATATACTAAGCCTGGGGTACATGTATGGCAACCAGGATAGAAGATCTATATACTAAGCCTGGGGTACATGTATGGCAACCAGGATAGAAGATCTATATACTAAGCCTGGGGTACATGTATGGCAACCAGGATAGAAGATCTATATACTAAGCCTGGGGTACATGTATGGCAACCAGGATAGAAGATCTATATACTAAGCCTGGGGTACATGTATGGCAACCAGGATAGAAGATCTATATACTAAGCCTGGGGTACATGTATGGCAACCAGGATAGAAGATCTATATACTAAGCCTGGGGTACATGTATGGCAACCAGGATGGAAGATCTATATACTAAGCTTGGGGTACATGTATGGCAACCAGGATAGAAGATCTATATACTAAGCCTGGGGTACATGTATGGCAACCAGGATGGAAGATCTATATACTAAGCCTGGGGTACATGTATGGCAACCAGGATGGAGGATCTATATACTAAGCTTGGGGTACACGTATGGCAACCAGGATGGAGGATCTATAAACTAAGCTTGGGGTACACGTATGACAACCAGGATAGAATATCTATATACTAAGCCTGGGGTACATGTATGGCAACCAGGATGGAGGATCAATATACTAAGCCTGGGGTACATGTATAGCAGCCAGGATGGAGGATCTATATAATAAGCTTGGGGTACACGTATGGCAACCAGGATAGAAGATCTATATACTAAGCCTGGGGTACATGTATAGCAACCAGGATGGAGGATCTATATAATAAGCTTGGGGTACACGTATGGCAACCAGGATAGAAGATCTATATAATAAGCCTGGGGTACATGTATGGCAACCAGATCTATATACTAAGCCTGGCGTACATGTATGGCAACCAGGATGGAGAATCTTTATACTAAGCTTGGGGTACACGTATGGCAACCAAGATAGAAGATCTATATACTAACCCTGGGGTACATGTATGGCAACCTGGATGGTAGATCTATATACTAAGCCTGCGGTACATGTATGGCAACCAGGATGGTAGATCTATATACTAAGCTTGGGGTACATGTATGGCAACCAGGATAGAAAATTTATATACTAAGCCTGGGTTACATGTATGGCAACCAGGATAGAAGATCTATATACTAAGCCTGGGGTACATGTATGGCAACCAGGATAGAGGATCTATATACTAAGCTTGGGGTACACGTATGGTAACCAGGATAGAAGATCTATATACTAAGCCTGGGGTACATGTATGCCAACCAGGATAGAAGATATATATACTGAGCTTGGGGTACATGTATGAAAATCAGGATGGAGGATCTATATACTAAGCTTGGGGTACACGTATGGCAACCAGGATGGAGGATCTATATACTAAGCCTGGAGTACATGTATGGCAACCAGGATGGTAGATCTATATACTAAGCTTGGGGTACATGTATGGCAACCAGAATGGAGGATCTATATACTAAGCCTGGGGTACATGTATGGTAACCAGGATAGAAGATCTATATACTAAGCCTGGAGTACATGTATGGCAACCAGGATAGAAGATCTATATACTAAGCCTGGGGTACATGTATGCCAACCAGGATAGAAGATATATATACTAAGCTTGGGGTACATGTATGAAAATCAGGATGGAGGATCTATATACTAAGCTTGGGGTACACGTATGGCAATCAGGATAGAAGATCTATATACTAAGCCTGGGGAACATGTATGCCAACCAGGATAGAAGATATATATACTAAGCGTGGGGTACATGTATGAAAATCAGGATGGAGGATCTATATACTAAGCTTGGGGGACACGTATGGCAACCAGGATAGAAGATCTATATCCTAAGCCTGGGGTACACGTATGGCAACCAGGATAGAAGATCTATATACTAAGCTTGGGGTACATGTATGGCAACCAGGACAGAAGATCTATATACTAATCCTGGGGAACATGTATGGCAACCAGGATAGAAGATCTATATACTAAATCTGGGGTACATGTATGGCAAGCAGGATGGAGGATCTATATACTAAGCTTGGGGTACACGTATGGCAACCAGGATGGAGGATCTATATACTAAGCCTGGGGTACATGTATGGCAAGCAGGATGGAGGATCTATATACTAAGCTTAGGGTACATATATGGCAACCAGGATGAAAAACTAATAATCGGACTTGTACCGTCTAGGACTTTGGACTTGTACAACTACACTGCACCTACACTGTACCAAGTCTAGGCCTGTGGACTTGTACAACTACACTGTACCTACATTGTACCAAGTCTAGGGCTTATTTTACCAACAACTACACTGTACCTATATTGTACCATGTCTAGGGCTGTGGACTTGTACAACTACACTGTACCTATATTTTACCATGTCTAGGGCTGCGGACTTGTACAACTATACTGTACCAAGTCTATGGCTGTGGACTCGTACAACTACACTGTTCCAAGTCTAGGGCTGTTGACTTGTACAACTACACTGTAAGTACAAGGTACTATGTCTAGGGCTGTGGACGTGTACAACTATACTGTACCAAGTCTAGGGCTGTTGACTTGTACAACTACACTGTCCCTACACTGTACCAAGTCTAGGGCTGTGGACTTGTACAACTACACTGTACCTACATTTTACCAAGTGTAGGGCTGTAAACTTGTACAACTACACTGTACCTACATTGTACCAAGTCTATGGTGTGGACTTGTGCAACTACACTGTACCTACATTGTACCAAATCTAGGGCTGTGGACTTGTACAACTACACTGTACCTACATTGTACCAAGTCTAGGGCTGTGGACTTGTACAACTACACTGTACCTACATTGTACCAAGTCTAGGGCTGTGGACTTGTACAACTACACTGTACCTACACTTTACCAAGTCTAGAGCTGTGGCCAATCAATTTGCGCCACGTATCATACGAATGCCTTACTTCCAAGTGTATGTCTAATGTGATGAACAATATCCTTTCTATTTTCCCCTTATACTAGTCACTCACTGCACGTCCTTGCTGTGTAATATAGCTACCCATGCTTCAATATGAAAATAAAAGACATCAATGTTTTACTCGAACACATCAAATTTATCGCAATTTTTGTAGCTTCGAGAATATTTGCATGAAGTTTTACTTGACAAAAATATTCGCTGTGAGATTATAAGGTAAACAGTGTTACCTGACTAGAAATATTCGCTGTGGGATTATAAGGTATACAATTTATAAAGCAGAAAGTCGAGATGACGGTTTTTATGAGCACAATATTGATTCACAAAAATGTTTTTGGAAATGGTATAAGCATTATGACAGAAAGAAACGTTTTAGAAGAAAATTATTCCCTTATATCGTTAATGATGCAATGGGTCATTCAGTTGATAGAACATTGGTAACAAGATAATTTCGATATTATTTTGCCTAGATAAACCGATAACATTATATCACAACTGCTTAATAAAACATTTAATTCACTTTCGGTGAGGTGAATCCGCAATTTTATGAAGCATGACAAAGTTATAATAACCGACAAAACTGTTAAAGAGGTTCGACGAGGCGGTGAGGAAAGTTTTACTCTGAGATGGAGTTAATTCAAATTAACGAAACTAATTATTGTCGTTCTTATCAGATTCTAACTTATTTCTTTTAATATAAATATTTGAATGATATTAACTTACTTTTGTCATTAACTCAGTCAACTCAATTTAACATCTGTAACATACATGTCTTTCGCTTGATATATGACTTATCTATATATGGCCCGATAGGGACCCAACACATCTATATATGGCCCGATAGGGACCCAACATATCTATATATGGCCCGATAGGGGCCCAACACATCTATATATGGCCCGATAGGGACCCAACAAATCTATATATGGCCCGATAGGGACCAGACATATCTATATATGGCCCGATAGGGACCCAACAGTTACGTACACTAACTGATGTAGACAACTAAATGGATTTGGAATTTTTGACAGATTAGTCATTACTTGTGCAACGGTTCTCTTTTAAAAGCCATCGACTGGCCTTTTCTGGTAATCTCGTGTTCACTAGGAGAACCGTAAATCCGTCAGTAATGATGACATCTCACGACTGCGGGCCATTTTCAATAATAGGTACATACAAAATTGCTAGTTTCGATGGTCGAAGTGGGACGGCAAATCTCGCGCGTTCAACTTAAAGAAAAGTGGTCAGGCGATTAAAGTGTCCACGCTGATTCATTTTATGGTAGATACGACAATTGTCTCGTTTATATATAGCGAGAGGATATTAAGATATGGAATCGAAAACAACAAGGCGGAAATCTGCGATGGTGTACTCACCTTCCTTTTGGACTTGAGTTGTTGTTCGTCTCGGATTGCATCAGCGTTGCCGGGTGACCTGCGTCGCCACAGAATACATCCAACAATAGAATAAGTAACGGTTAGAATAACGAGAGGGATTATGTAAGTAAGGAAGAGCATACACATTGAATACGCTCTCTTACTCTCCGGGTCATCCCACTCTTCACCACATTTCACTATTGTTTCATTTGACGTGGAATTCCAATTCAGATTTTCACTTGCTCTCCCAACCTTGAATTGCAAACAATTAAATGCAATCGCAATAATCCAAATGAGAAAAATAATAAGGCGATACCTTGACGAAGTAATCCGAGATTTTAAAGGGTATGCCACGGCATAGAACCTGTCAATGCCAATGGCCATGTTGGTAGAGGCGCTGGCTGTGACTGAAACTGTCTGTAAAAACAGAACAATAGGGCACATCGGCTTAGAAAACACCCATTCACTCAATAACTGGTCAGTGAATGTAAACGGTATACAGAAAATCGCCATGATCAAATCGGCTACGGCAAGATTGATCAGAAACGGACGCAATTCAGATTTGGAACGTTTTCCTTTAGCGAAGATTATAATAGCTGCAATATTTCCAACAATAGATGTCAATGTTGTAACGATATAAAGTGGTATAAAAACACCATAAGATCCAAGCGCTGGGTTTTCAATGTTCGTAAAATCCGTACTTTCATTTTTTGGTGAATTTGTAAAGAAGTATTGTTGATTAGGATCCAGGTTAGCGACGCTCACAGTCGTGACCGAAACGTTCTCCCGACTGGACATGGCAGACAATATTTTCAGTAATTCATTGGGATGCCCTGTCTTTTTTCACTACAAAACTATTGTTGTTTATAACCCCACCGACAACCTAACACCACTTATACGACCAGTAGTCGACAATGTTTCCAAGTATCCCTTGGTATGTTGAACTATCTCTAGAGAAAATTATCGAGCTAGCCAATCAGAACGACGGTCTCATACGCGCCTCGGTTGCTCCGTGTTCTCCAATGATAGTAACGGAATATGAGGAAAGGTACAACTATATCGTGGAAGATGCTGCTAACATCCGCCGAAACCTTACACAATACAGGGGTAGCAGTAACGTCATTCATTAGTTTGGTGCGATTACAGCTTTGTGTGTACCACGAGAGAGTGTCTCTGTTCACTGGGCGTGTAATTAAAATACAATAACTCGACTGTTCTGCTATGCTGTTTTCGCTGTGGGCAGTATATACTTGTACGTGTGCTTCTCAGCATACTGGCCCAAGTATATATAGCATATATACCTGCGTTCATTGTATATTCTCTTATGCTTCATTTTTTTATTTTTTTTTATCTTTTCTGCAAATTATTAAATGGAATATTTATCATTGAGTATTATAATAAAAAGTCTGATTATATTGTGGGACGCTTACGCCTGTTTTGTCATGAGAGATAAAAAATAATTTGAGAATCCTCGCCCATTTTTTAACGCTGTGTATTATTCGGAAGCAATCAATTTACCACTATCCCATAGTTGTTGCATTCTTCGTTCAGATTTTAATCGGACATCAGTGTACATATGTTATGTAGATAATTGTAAGACTACAATGGCACAGTGATGCCATTATTTTGGAAAATCACGTGAGAACAAATTTGAAACCCCGCCTTTCCACATCGATAGCAGGTAGTAAATCATTGATATTTTCACGGACTGTGTGTTTGTTTTCTACAATTCTAATTCCTTTTCGTCGTTTTCAAACCATGTTCGCAAATCTCAAAAGTTTTATTATTTTCTTTGCATATTGCTATGAAACGGATGATGCTGTATACAAAAATTCCAAAGCGACAGTTCAGCCCTAATAGTTGTATATGTCACATTTTCAAATATTTTTTAAACAGTTATGCCAAAATTAATTAATTCAAGCTATTTCGCCCTGAAATCTTCTTTTCATGTTATATCGTTTGACATTGAAAATATAATTATCAAAACAAATAGAAAATAGTTATCTTGACTGATTTTTTGTAGCATTTTTTGTGTAATGTACATGCAATGAGTTCTTGAGTGGCTGGATGGGCACATTATCTGTTCGTTCAGGAGGAAGACTGCTTTTGAAACTACTAAGTAAAATAAACACCAATCAATTAACTGTACACATAATGGGTTTACATATAGTGTGGAAGTTTGATTTCCCGATGTTTACACCTACACGGCTCGATAAAGCAGCAGGAGTTTTATGGCTTAGACAATATCTACCAAACTGACGTATCGTATATCATTTCTTAATGACTGTTTAGTGGCATGAAGATACAGGAAATAAGGGAAACAGAAGGGAGACAACTCAGTTTATAAATTTTGGGCGTACACAGTGCAGCAATGTTACAACATACAACTCCACTACAAAACAAATTTCACAATTACAAACCAGAAAACTAGTGATAATGATAATATTTCGGATTTGAATCAATGATTGATGAAAAATGAAATATAAATCCTTTTTGAAAACCTACACAATAGTTGATAACATATTTGAAAAACACGTAAGAATCCATTTGAAGGCAAGGTAAAGTTGGACGGTTATTGGTTATTGGTTATTCAAATAACAAATAACTTTCTCACTTAACTTTCTATTCATACAACAAGCAAGCGCAATATGTACACCTACCGGACTTAAATGCTAAGTTTTCATTCAATATTTTTTTTTCTATCATATTGAGATTTTTAGTAAAAAAATATTTAAGCATAAAAATATATATAATATAAAAGTTATATATAACCTGACGCAAAACAAAAAAGCAAACTAATCATCAAATAATCGGCGAACACGTTTGTTTTATTTGTCATTTAAAACATATATACAGATTCTGTGTTATCTTTTTGCTTCTTCAAGTTTTTGCAAATTCACCTTGAAATAAAATCCAAACAAATTGTAAACAACTGACATTAGATATTAGGCAGTCTGCGATCACTAACTCTAGATCTGCGATCACTGAGTCGAGAGTACGAGGTCTACATGGGTAAGTCGATGTACACAGTCGCAGGTCGGTGATTTTCTCTGGGTACTCCGGTTTTCCTCCACCACCAAAACCTGACACGTGCTTAAATGACCAAAGCTGTTTATAGGACGTAATACACAAACAAACAAACACACCATTCGAGTTTATGTTTGTTAAGACATCAGTTTTAGACAACACGTGTTCTCAGAACATAAGCATTACATGCACAAATGATTCCACTGTATTTTTTTCTGGTAAACCTTTACTCTATGCGCAGCCACTCGAGTTGATATATATATACCACTCCGTAACGGTTCACCCGCGGCTTTAAATTACACCCAACAATTAGCGTTTTGTTAAGTGGCAGCGCAAAGCGGCGGCAGTTGGCCAGACGTTGATTCCATTGTGCTAGGTATTCTCTACGGTGGTATGAAGTGGCTAAGAATACCCGCGACTTTGATGTGAGGACAGACACAAACTGCTAAGGATATTTTTTTTTTTTTTTCGTAGACTCCTCTTGTTCAGCTCTTCATTTCTTGATATGAAAATACTTATCAGGACTCTACTAACCTAATGTACCAATCTCTACCCAGAGTTGCCGTTCCTTACACTCACTTACACTAAGGAACGACATCTCTAGGTAGAGGTTGCTAATGTATACGACATTTACCTACATTATGATTTTGTTTGTTTGTTCGTTTGTCTTTTACGTCGTATTAACAGCTATGGTCATTTAAGGACGTGCCAGGTTTAGGCGGTGAAGAAAGCCGGAGTTCCCGGATAAGTAGCTGGTGACTGCCCACGTAGGTCTCGAACCCGTGACCCAAACAAGCACGACTATCACCTCACAATCCTTGCTCTCTTTTCCTCAATGTGAACCTACCATGAGAGTTAACATATGATCGACGATTTACCGTGACCGGTACCATAGGTGGCGCAGACAATGTTTCACATCCGGTGTTGTCGGGAGTCCTAGTCTATTTATTATTCGCTATGCATGTGATGTGCTACAATGGGCTGTTAAAATTACGGACCAATAACGAGCACAAACCTTGAATAAAAATAATAATATACAACATTTATATAGCGCCCTATAATTTGTAAAATTACTCTAAGGCGTTTTACAACATATGGATAATAGTAATGGTTATAATTGATTGTGAAAACAAACAACAAAGGCTTGCAATCACTTTTATACATTTAACAAGCAATGTGCACATAATTGAACAAATAAAGGGGTGGTATTTACATGACGTCTTTGCAAAGATTCTTAAATGCAGACGTGGAGAGGTGAGTTTTTATGTCCCTCTTGAACTTGGCCAGGGTATTTGACTTCCTAATAGCAGATGGTAAGCTATTCCACAACGTAGCCGAAACCCTCCCAAAGCATCTGTTTCCGTAGGTCACTGTACGAGATTTTGGGACACACAACAAAGATTCTGACTCCGACCGCAGTGATTTTGACGGCTGATACAGGGTAACAAGCTCCTGTAGGTACTGAGGAGCTGTTCCATTCAGTGCCTTGTATGTGTCTACCAGAATTTTGTACTGCGACCTGTATCGTACAGGTAACCAGTGCAACGAATATAGCACAGGTGTGATGTGCTCTCTCTTTCGAGTACGAGTAACTAGCCGTGCTGCAGTGTTCTGGACCCTCTCCAGACGACTAGTTATAATCCAACCGAGAGGTAACAAGTGAATGCACCAAAATCTTGCATGCAGCCGATGTTCCTGATCTGGTAGTAACAGGATTTGGCAATAGCGTTAACTTGTTTCTCCATGTTCAGAGAACTGTCAAAGTATATCCCTATGTTTTTAACAGCTGGAACAGTCTCAATAGCTCTGGCACCAACCTGCGGACACTTTGGGGAAAAGACGATTAGTTCCGTCTTTTCCTGATAACGTTTAAGCATGTTGGCGTTTATCCAGATACTGATATCTGTCAGATGATCTTCCAGACTTTCTGAGACTGTTTTCCAACTGTCCAGTGGTTTTATGACCATGTAAATTTGTGTGTCATCGGCATAGCAATGATAGCGAAGGCTATGGCGACGACCATACAATATTTTCGTGGTCCTAACACCGACCCTTGAGGAACCCCGAAATCTAGTACTTTGTCATGTGAGGTGGCAGATCGGATGGCAACACACTGTCGTTCACTCAGGTATGACTGTATTCAGCATAGTGCGGTATCAGTCTTCCAGACGTTTATAGGTATGCCATGGTCGATGACGTCAAATGCAGCTGACAAGTCCTGAATATTAAACGCCTTAGAGAAAATTTCTTGATATGAGACATGGTGCTTTACACAATTCGATTTCCATCCAAGGTGAGTTGCTCGTTGGTTTGTTTGTTAACGTGACGCCAGCGCGACACACACACAAATAATGTATATATGTGTTAAAATCTTTGAAATATACATAACGTTTTAATGTGTTTAAATCATGATGAAAAGATATTTCATATCGATAACTTAGGCCAAAACATAATGTGTGTTTCGGGTGTCCCGACCTTCCTTAGATTTTCAAGTCGACTCTAAAACATTTGATCACCTACTTGTACCTAGAATTAACTTATTATCCTAGCGAAGCTCTCGGTCACCCATTATACTGTATACTTTCGTCCCACTCCGAGACTCTTACCTACCTCATTCTTGACAGCTAAATAGATACTGAAATGTGTGGAAAGGCATTGTAAATCGTATACCAAGTATAATATTGATCCCACAAAATCAAAATAGAAATAGAAAAATAAAAAATTGCCTACCAACCTATTCTATTTACTTCTAGCATGCTACCTGAAACACGAATAATTTTGTTGTTGTTTTTGTTGTTGTTTTTGCCTTATAGAAATTTCTTGTATGTTTGTGGGAAAGACCGCGGCGTGTTAGTGTGTCGTGTATGATATACAGGACACGGGTTTGTAATGTGTATTGCAC